TGGTCTCCGTTTTAGTGCTCACAATTCATTCAGGATGCAAGTAAAACTCTTCAGAATCACACTGTTACTTACCATTAACTTTTAGAGTATCCAATCACTCAATAGGAATCTGAGAAATACTGCATCACGTGAGACATCATTAGGCCATTCAAGCACTATTTTGTGTTACTATTTTTAGATCCATTCTTTGTCAAAAGGACCAAAACTAATAATATACCAGCATATTTTGATTACAAAGGCAGTCGAACAAGAACGTTAACAATAGTTAGAAAAATTGATGGAGATACAGAGGTGTGTGCATTCTAATTATTAAACATTTTCTTGACACAGTTGTTAATATCTTGTTCAGTCTTAGTATCACATAGTTCAGTCTTACATCTCACATTAGAGTAGTTCTGTTATTATTGGGTTGTTTTTAAAGTTAATTTTACTGTAAGAAATACAGTATAGCCTGATATGAGAGAAAGCACCTGCATGGATATCCTCTAAAAGAAAATTTCAAGTTGCTTTTGTATGGCTAAAGAGCATGGGTTACATTACATGATGTTTTATAAAAATTGATTAGGAGTATGCACTCATGTTTTTATATTTTATATTAAGTTTGCAAAGCCTGAAAATTATAATTGAACAATGTTCTGTCTGAACGTGGCTTAATTTGATCTGCCATTTTTATAAAATGTTTGGACAGGGTTTTCTAAAGGATTTTATTATAGTGCTCATGCAGCTTTTTCTCCTTGAGTTTTCAAGTTGAAATTGCTCAATAATTGGGCCAAATACCCTGTACTGTTCATATTTTGATAAAAATTACAAGGAGAAAATTTTATAACTTTATTTCTGATACATATACATGTCCTTGTGTTGTGTACCAACTTTGAGCGGATTCCAATCAATTTTGGAATTTTTAAAGTTGCTCAAAAATTGGGCTAATGGCCGAGTACTATAGTAACATGATCATTGACCAAATTTTGTCAAAAATGGCAAGACGAGATTTCTCTTTATTATAATTTACCTTGATATATATACATGCCCTTAGGCTATATTAATTTTGAGCCAAGTTTTGATTTTTATGATGAATTTTTAAAGTTGCTTCAAATTCCATGCACTGTATTGTAGTGCTTGTCAGCTCATGAAGTGTCAAGTATGCTATATAGCTGACTTAGCATACTTTTACCCCGTTTACACTACCATATAACGCTTTAATTTGGTGGAGTTTTATTTTGGCGATTGGCGGTTTGCAAGCAGAATCGCCAATATTAAAACCGCCAATCATTAATGCACATGCTCAGTAATGCACATGTACACAAAAATTGCCAAGTTAAAAACCGCCAATTGCAATTTTACATCAAAATCACCAAAATAAAGTGCCGCCAAAATAAAGCATTATACGGTATCCCAGAACTGGTTTAAATTGATTAAATTAATTGGTTGGGGAATTGATTAAATCTATTAAAATTACATTATTTAGAAAAAATTGTAGAACAATGCAGGATCTGGTCAAACAATTGACCAAATAGTCAGAAAATGTCCTATGTTTGACTGTTGTTTCAGGGTCTGAGTTAGTTTGGTCCTGTCTCTTCATTGCGCAGGGTAGTACAAAAGAGTCTGGTAACACTGCTACAGATATTGTTTCAGAAAGGAATGCAATAATTTGTAGTTATTTTAGTTTTAAAAAATGACTGTCATGTGATTGCCTTTCTATTTGAGGCTTTTCTTAACAAGCAAGCATCCATAAGTTAAGAGAGCTACAGTAGTAAAAGGCAAGAAGGAATCAATCAAATTTATAGTTAATTTAAGGACAATATTTGTGGGAGGAAAATAGAAAATTTGTATACTTTTTAACCAAGTTTAACATGAGAATTCTTCTTATTCTTCTGTTACTTTCTATTCCTTTGCAAGCATTTATCGTATCTACAGCAGGTTTGTCAGTCATACTTGCAGTCATTTTAAATAGTTCACATGACAAACTTACATGTACTTTCATGTGACTGGAGTAATCTGATTGGTATGCCCAAAACCTGTGCTTAGTGCAGCAGTGTCACCAGACTCTTCTGCGTCACTCCCCACGCAGCAAAGGGGTGGGGCCAGACTATTGAGTTGATTCTGATTAAAATTGGATTTTATACAAATTTTTAAAGCACCTTCAAAATTTGGCCAAGTAAGGGTTGGCAATATACTGGTATTTACTAACTGTTGTGACTTGTGATATTCAGTTATAGTTTTTAGTATTTTGTAAAGCGGTTTATAGTTTATGTCGTTATTATTGTCAGTAGTACATGCAATTATTAGTATAATAAGATATCATAACTCTTAGTACAAGTGGCAATATGGGAGGCACTGTTACTAAATTACTATGCTAGACAAGTTTTATGTGTACAATGCTGGCATTCTAGTCTAGTGACCATTAAAAACCACACCAAAATTTCCTGCTATACGGTAGGATTCTGATCAACTAAAATCTAAAATAAAGATTTTTACTCTTGTGACACAAGCCTACTCTACATTGCATTTTCAATACCATTATGAAAATAATGCAATTTTTAATTCAAACTTTCTACAATTTTTAATGAAATTTTGGCCAAAGACCATGCACTATAGTATTTAAGCAACTTCAAAAGTTCCATTTTGAAAGTTGTAAAAATGAATAATGAAATACCCTTGACTGTATTGACTGGGTCTTTAGTTAAACTATTTGGTCTACTACTCTTCATTACTTTATCTAGTATCTCTGCTTACATTGTATGACTGATGTACACGTATTTCTGTAGGTATCCAATGGTGGTAGGAGGGTCCAGTTGTTTGATTTTGATGCAGAGCAGGATGATGAAGACAGTTGAACTATAGCTTTTAGTGTTGTTCTAGTTCAACATTTTGTTTTAGTTCTAGTTTTAGCTCTTGTACATTATCTTTAGTTTTTATAATCTACTTTACTATACTTTACTATGTGTGAAAAATTTCTAGTTTTGACGTAGATTATGGAAAATACATATTGTCCTTTTTCTGTTTATCAGGGGGGGGGGTAGGGAGGGTTTCAGGATTTGGCTGGCACATTAACATTTGAAAAGAAAACTAACATCCTAAATAAAAATACTCTTGTGATGCAAATTCTACTCTACATTGCTTTTGCAATGTTATCATAAAATCCAATTACGATCAGAATCTATTCAAACTCTTAAGAACATATGCATAAAAAATTATGAAAATTTAAAATTCTATCCTTGCAATTTTTGATGAAATTTGGTAGAAGACCATTATAATAAGTACATGGTCTTGAGCCTGATTTCTAAGTAACTTTAAAAATTAAAAACTATGATTGGAATCAGCTGAAACTTTCTGCAAAAGATACATGTAAGAACATGTATATGTATCAAAAAAATTATGATAAAATAGCCTTTTGTTAAACTTATTGGTCTACTACTCTTCATTACTTTATCTAGTAGCTCTGCTTACATTGTATGACTGATGTACATGTATTTCTGTAGGTATCCAATGGTGGTAGGAGGGTCCAGTTGTTTGATGCTGATGGAGAGCAGGACAATGAAGATGTGTGAACATATGGCCACATGTGAAGAACATGTGGCGTATTAGTACTAGTGTTGTTCTAGTTCAACATTTGTTTTAGTTCTAGTTCCACTTTATCTTTAGTTTTATTATGGTTCTAGTTCTTGTACCATGACAGTACCAAAAAGTTTAGTTATAGCACATCAGCCTAAACAATTCTTGTTCCAGTTTTACTACATTTTGTCCAATTAATTTCAGTTCTAGTTCTAGTATACCATGTGCAGAAAAATTATAGTTAGTACATCATCTTATTGTGACCTGTTACAAAACTAACTACTTATAACCACAACTATTTGTAATTAATGGTGATCATGAAACAGGAGGAGCAGCTGTTGATCTGTTTCTCTCTTCTTATTACTCTCTCTTATGGTGGCTATGTTCCTCAGTGGGTTGTGAGCATAAGGTCAGAATATGATGCAAATGTAGTTGCTACTGAGAATGGACTGATTAATAAAGGAAAAGTATGTTGTATGCATGTACTATGCTTACCCAGACAATATTGAACTTTATAGATAGGAGGATTTCAGGACATGTATTTGTATTGTTACTATGCTGGAGAGTTTGATGTTGAATATTACAAAATTACTGAATCATTGAAAAATCATTCAAAGGTCATATATTTAATTTACCCATATATATATATATATTATACTAGATCGTGACAATAGCAAGTGTTATTATGTAATAATGATTGTAAATAGGTTGATTATGTTGAGCAGGAAAAGACACTGCAACATGTCTTAAAAGATTTTTCATTTCCTGATGATCCTTACTGGGAGTATCAGTGGCCATTGGTAAAATTAATACAAAATTATGTTTTTAAAAAATTATTGTAAATTTGTCGGTATTTTTGTTATAGTATGACAAGCCTGATCCTGGTTCAGATATTAATGTTGTTCCTGCTTGGATTGAAGGAGTTTCAGGAGAAAATACATATGCACTAATTATTGATAATGGTCAGTTATTATTATCATTTTTGTAGTCATTATATTGATCAGGCATCCAGTTAAATCATCCTGATTTACAAGACAATATTGTAAGTACTATGATAATAAAATTATTATTCTTTAGTTACAATTTGTCCTGGAATTTACCAATTTGCTTAATTTATTTCCAGTACTACTACATTACACATACCATACTTGGTAATGATGTTGATTAGTGTGATCAGCTTTACATATACATACATGCATGTCTATAAAATATTTATTTACCATAGGATACTTCATTATGTTACAGTACTATTACTGGAAGTAATGATATATTACCAACAAGACGACTGTCAGACCCAGAATATCCTTATGGTCATGGTACAGAATGTGCTGGTGTAATAGCTATGATTCATGATAATGATATTTGTGGAGCTGGAGTAGCTTATCATGCCACAATAGGAGGTATTTACAGTTTTGTGCAGCCAGAGTCAGTCTTAATTCTTCTAGGGTTTCAGATGGACTTTGACAGAAAAACTCCAAGTGATGAAGCTAATGCCTTCAATTTTAAATCTCAAATAATTCAAGTATCCAGTAATAGTTGGGGTCCACTTGATAACGGGTATACTGTTGAGAAACCAGGTTACGTATCCAATGAAGCTCTTATTGAAGGAGTAACAAGTGTACGTTCAAATTATATATTGTTGTTTGCTGCTGATTTGACTTTAAAAATTCAAAATGATTTATTGATGAGGAATTAATACTGGTGATTGGTGGTTCTGTGCAGAAATCAAAAATATAAAATTAGCTATTTTGTGTTAATCTGACCATGCTCAATGACACATAGCATGATATAAAACTTGCCACAGTCAAATTCTCTTGCCAATAAATCATCTTGTATGGTATAATATAGTTATTTGTTTTAGGGAAGGAATGGTTTAGGAACCATATATGTATTTTCAGCTGGTAATGGAGGAAATAAAGCTGACTCATGTGCTGCTGATGGTTATGCATCAAGCATTTATACCATAGCTATTGGTTCTTTGAATCAAGATGGTAATAGTCCAACATATGAAGAAGCTTGCTCTGCTAAAATGGCAGTTGCTTATAGCAATTCCAGACCAGGAAATCAAGTGGTAAGTACAATATACTAACTTACTGAGTAAAGAAAATCATTTATTCGCAATTCTCAAGGTGTCTACATGGCCTGAGAGTGAATGTGTGAGAAATTTTACTGGTACAAGTGCTGCTACTCCTCTTGTATCTGGAGTAATTTTATTAGCACTTGAAGTGAAGTAAGTCAAAGTTAGTGTACACTAAGTCTCATTGATTTATATCTTGCTAGCCCCAAACTGTCCTGGCGTGATATACAATATTTGATTGCTTATACATCAAATAGTAATATTGATGGTTCTTTTCAAGATAATGGAGGGGGATTGCGCTATGATGACAGCAATTACAATGGATTTGGTGTCATTAATGCAATCAGTTTAGTTACAAGAGCCAGATACTGGACACCAGTTGGACCAGTAATTAGAAATGAGTATACTGTTGTTAATAGGTGAGTGTCAATAATTTATTCAATGTGCATTATAATTTTTTTGATATAGACCCATAACTGTTAATGGCAGCAATGAATTTGAAAAATCAATTACTGTAGAACAGATTGGCTATCTTGAACATGTGGTACTACAAACAACATTCAACATTATACTAGTAATAATAGTAATATGACATTTCTATAGCAAATCATTATTATTTTTAGGACTCTACAAGTACTAGATGTCTTGATGCTAGTGATTATGATGAGTCAATGGTATGCACAGAAGAAAATAGTTCGGCATGTCGTGGTGCTTGTCGTGGAGCAGTTTCAATTACACTGTGCTCTCCAAGTGGTTTCTGTTCAACTCTGTTACCCGAAAGATGCAACGATTTCATTAGTTGTGAAGGATATACTGATTGGCCATTCATGTCAGTTGCATTTTGGGGTGCTAAGTCTACAGGTACATGGGTTGTAACTATGGCATACAATGATGAAATCCCTGGTGGTGCCCAACTTACCTCAATGGTTCTCATGTTGTACACAGTGCAGAATAGACCAGAAGATGTTGTAGATCAATGCAATGAAGCATGTGACACACTCACTGGTTGTAGTTATGGAAATGGTACACGCTATTGTGATACATGTGGTGCTGGATATTATCGTAATGTTACCAGTCAGGAGTGTGTGAGGAGCTGCTCCACAGGAGCTTGTGTCATTGAGGACACATGTGTCTTCTATAATGGAACCTGTCCAGCTACTGGTTCACCAACGCGAGATGATCTATCAGAAAGAGATATCACATTTATTATTGTTGGAGGAGGAACAAGTGCTTTTCTGTTTGTTTTAGCAGCACTCTTTGCTGTTTGTTGTTGCTGCTCTAGAAGAAATCGCCACAGTATGTCTATGAATAAAGACATGATCAATTTGGAAAGGAATGACTCCATTCAAGTTCCGCTTGTTAAAAATTAGCTGGTGCACTGTGACTTCAAAATGTTATGTGACAGTCAGACCATTTGTTTCTTATGTTTTGTAGGTTTTTCATAGATTTTTGCTAGGCTACGGAGGGTTGTTTGACTACGCATGCGCAACAGATGCAATTTTTATATAAGGCTAGCTGGCTAGTCAGTAGTCACGTCTGACTAGTAGTGACTACACAATGGCGGAATCATCAAAGCCAAAGGAGCAAGTTGTTACTCCGTGGACAGCTCAGGCTGGAGAAGGTGAACAGAAGATTGATTATGACAGACTCATTGGTATGTGGAGGGTTGTTTGGGACGTGGGGTTTTATAATATACTGTCTCTGTCTCGTTAGTTCAGTTTGGAAGTAATAGAATAGACGAGTCTCTTTTACAAAGGATTGAGGCTGTGACAAAGAAACCTGCCCATCATTTCCTCCGCAGAAAAGTTTTCTTTTCTCACAGGTAACTTTAGCTGATAATTATCAGTGCTAGACTTTTTGTGATAATTATGCAATTGTGTTAGAGGTGGAATAGATTAATATTAAATCAGTACTAAGCTTTGAACAATTGCATGATATGAAGGTAATTGCATGTATTTGATTTCAGATATTTTTTAACCTCTTGGAATTAAAAGATTATAAACAAGCTAAGCAAATTGCATTACATTAATAGATACCTGTAGCAAAAGGAACTAAAAATTATTTGTTTTTCTCATTCGTGCTCAATTTATTTATTTTTCATTATTCCCAACTTTTATGTTATGGTTCTAGTTACATGTATATCTGTTGCTACATCTTGCGTCCTTTTTTTCTTTTAATGTGTTAAACCTTTAACAGACAGAGCTCACACAATATTGTAATTCATTTTATTTAGAGATGTTCCCGATATCTTGACTGCCTATGAACAAAATAAGCCATTCTTCTTGTATACTGGACGTGGTCCTTCATCTGAATCAATGCATCTTGGACACCTTATACCTTTCCTTTTTACAAAGTATGAGACACTCACATTAATTGACTTGTGTGTGTGCATGTGCTGGCAATTGATTTGAATTACTTCAGCTTGAGCTAGATGTACTTAAACAGATTTAGGATCAATTTAATTAAAAGTAGTATATTACTATTTTTGATCAGGTCATTGCTTCTATATAACAGCCATTTTTGAGGGCTGTTGCCTCTTGAACTTGTTTATTTGATTAGTGTGTCCCTTGGTCAAAGTCATAATAATAATAATAATAATACTGTACTAAGTAGTGGTTATAACTTACAAAATATCTGAAAGGGTACTACATGTACATGTATGTTTTAGTGAGAAGTATACGTGGAGTCATTAATTACATTAAAAGAAAGCAAAATGATTAGCAAAGCCCTTAAACACTAAAATTAAAAGTATACTTAGATATTGTGCATTATACAGTATTTGTATTGATCTTAATCACAAAAATATCAGAAATTGTTTTAAAAATTGAGAATAATTTGGAGCCAATTAAGCACAGGGTATAAATGGCCATAACTAAAAAAACTGGACATTAATATGTATCAGAAAATAATTTTGGAGCCACTTTTTCTTGCATTACCATAGTTTGTTATAGTTATATTATCATCATGATTACTTTTGTATTAACTTGTTCTTTTAGGTACTTGCAAGATGTGTTTGATGTGCCTCTTGTAATACAAATGACTGATGATGAAAAGTTTATGTGGAAGGATCTTCAATTAGAGGAAGCTCACCGTCTTGCTTATGAGAATGCAAAGGATATCATTGCATGTGGTTTTGATGTCAATAAAACATTTATATTCTCTAACTTAGATTACATGAGGTTAGTGATTTTTGTGCAAATCCACTTCACTAAAATTTTATCAACATCAACCAAATATTAACAAAAATTTTGTAAAATGCAAAAATTATTCCAAAAAAATTTATTGCAAAAATTTGAGCCCACAGAATAAACCAGCTACAGTATACTGGGAATTTCAATGCTTGCCACACATATGTACAAACTTAACTTTCATATTTTATCCTTTTATATAATTATCTTGGTTTCATTTTTAGTTGCTGTCCTGCTTTTTATCGCAATGTTTTACGTATACAGAAGTGTGTGACATGCAATCAGGCAAAGGGTATATTTGGTTTTCAGGATACAGACTGCATAGGTACACTTACTGCTTTATACAAGACCTCTCATGTGCATAGTGCTTACACTCAAAAATTATAAAGACAAAAAAACTTATGTAAAATTAAAAAGCAGGATGTTTCACTAAATGCATATACATGTACAATGTACCTCTAATGTGTCATTGGAATCATTACCTTACGCTTGCACAAGACACATACCTACTTGATGAAATTTGTACAAAGTATTAATGCAGATGCTTCTTCTTATTAGGTAAAATGGCATTTCCAGCTGTGCAGGCAGCACCATCCTTTAGTAGTACATTCCCTGACATCTTTGGAGACAATAAAGACATTAGGTGTCTCATTCCATGTGCCATTGATCAGGTATACATCAGTTTATCATGATATAGTGGTGATGAATTAATAATAGTGATTGGTAGTTCAGTGAAGAAATTGTCAATATACAATCTTGCTTCAATCTGAATATGCTCAATGGCACGTGACACAAAGTTGCCAGTATAAAAATTATTTACATAGACAAATTTGCCAATTACTGTATAGTTCCAAATTTTTTGTCAGTTAAAATTTTTGTTAAATTTGTCAAGTATTTTTGCTTGATGAAATTTTAACCGACGAAATTTTTATTCCACTTGAGTAGTATGCAGATTAATAACTATACAGTATTAAATTCCACAGGATTTTGTCATAGTGTTTAACATTCTGGCTGTCACTTAAAATTTTGAAAAACATATGCACTTCATTAAAAAATTGCTAGGAGAAAATTTTCCATTTTATAATTTTTGCTTGATTCGATCAAAATGATTTATATGAATTTTTACATTGCTCAAAAATAACTAGGAGAAAATTCTCCGTTTTAATAATTTTTCTAGTACATATACATACAATGTATTCTTATTGTGTAGCAAGTTTGAGCTAATTCCAACCTAAATTTTTTTTGAATTTTTGAAATCACTCAAAAATCAGGCTAAAGCTCCTGTACTTTAAAGTCTTTGGCCATATTTTGCCAAAAATAACTAGAAGAAAATTCTTTATTTTTATAATTTTTCTGATGCATGTAAATATTCTTATCTAGCAAGTTTGAGCTGATTCTCATTAAAATTTGAATATTTTGTGAAGTTACCCTAAAAGCCAGGCATGCTTCTTAGCTCACTCGGCATACTTTGTGGGAATCCCTTTTTCTACTGTATCATCAAGTTTTTATATTACTTGTCATGAATTATGATCATATTTAATTTATGGATATGCATTTACTAATGTCTAATCATAATAGGATCCATACTTTCGTATGACAAGAGATGTAGCACCACGTCTTGGCTTTCCGAAACCAGCACTCCTTCACTCAACTTTCTTCCCTGCACTTCAAGGGCCTCAATCAAAGATGTCTGCCAGTGATCCAACCTCGTCTATCTTTCTTACGGACACTCCAAGTCAAATAAAGAATAAGATAAACAAGTATGCCTTTTCTGGAGGACGTGACACAAAAGAAGAGCATGAGAAGTATGGTGGTAACACTGAGGTTGATGTCTCGTATCAATATCTGACCTTTTTCATGGAGGATGATGAGCGTCTAGCTGAAATAAAACAAGTGAGATTAGAGGGAACAGCACAGTACTGAAAGTACTGATCATTGCCACAGTATCTACATGTAGATTTAGTATGCTAGTCGTGTTTGTCCTGTTATAGTATAGTATAATTTTTTAATAGCTATAGTAATATCAAAAGATTTCTGTAACAGTAGTACCATCTTTGTGTAGTATGATATAATGGTGTTTGGGCTAATAATTATTAATTCTGAGTCGTGAAAATACATTTGTTCATGATTCATTCACCATGTATGAGTATAATAATTTTAAAATTATTT